TATAATATAAAACTAATATAATATCAATAAAATAATATAAAATAATGTTTAAAAATATCTATAATATTACAATATAACCTAGATTAGAAGTTTGAAAAAAAAATGCTAAGATATACTAAATTACAAGAATATGTTATAAGTAAATATTAAAATTTAAGAAACTTTACAAGAGCAAGAGTAAGTAATAATCAAGTTTAAAAAATAAACCTAACTGCAAGTATTAGACAATCAAAATATAAAATTACTATAAGTAAAATATAAATAGTTTAGCAAATTTATTTAAAACTAAATAATTTTTAATAAGAAAAATAGTTGTTTTAAAGTTTAAAATTAAATATACAATAATAAGAAAATAATATTAATTTTGTTTAGTTAATTTTTATTATTTTTTTATTTTTAATAAGCAGTTAATTGCTTAGTCAAACTGTCAATTTTATTAATTAATAATATTCTAAGTACATATATAGTTCATAAGAGTACAGCTAGTTATATATAAAACTTTAGTTATTGTCTATTTAAGAGTTTTGCTTTAAGATTATTCACTATTTGTTATATCTAATCTTTGCTTATAAGTATCTTATTTAAACTTTTTGTCTTATCTAATTAGTATCTATATACTTTTAATTAGTAGTCCATAGTTAAATAATACAAATTTTATAGTAAAAATCAGTGGACATGTGACTAGTTACCTTATATAGTAAGTGGAATGCCATGTGCTTCAATTCTTAAGAAAAACTTTATAATAAATGATTGAAAAATACTCATATCAAAAAAGATTGATCTGCACTCTACCATGTTCTGGTGCTGGGAGGGTGTTATAAAAGAAATAGTATACTAAGGAAAGCTAACCGTAAAAGCATATGAGGCCTCACCATAAGGGTGAAAGCCCTAATACCAAAGAAAAGGAAGTTTATAGATTGGAATATATGCAAGACCCAGGAAAAACGCATTAAGACTCATGACACTAGGTCAAAATCCGTTGACACAGAAGATAATATGAACATTGCTCAAATGAGCTCAACGTCTCAACTAAACTTAGAACAGGGACGGGAACAGATCGTAGCCACCTCTGACAACACATCAATCAACTGATCAGATGATGTGAAATTGGAGTTCTCTGTAGATGAAGACCCAACAAACACAGGTTCAAGTAACTTCGATGAAGTAAAAAATTTGCTGGGAGGCATGAAGGAATTTTCTGAAAAAATTGCAGAAAATTCTGAAGTTATGAATGCTGGAATGCAGAATGGCGATCTAAATCAGAATTTGAATAAAAATATGATAAATTCAGAAAAAAAGTTATCAGAAAGTCGTCAATAGTCTAGCTTATTCACTAAACTAAGAAGTGGCAAAGCAACATATTCTAGCTTTATCCCCAGAGATAGAATTAACACGAAAAATGATAATGTGTTAATCTTTAATATTCAAAGTCTCAAAAACATTTCAATCAATGATATTGTTGTTGCATTATATACAAAAATAGGAAATGACTTGATAGCAGCTAGGCCTTACTACAAAAGAGGAAAACGTTTATACCTTGAAGTTGTCTTCAACAACCAAGAGAAACAGCAATTGTATGCTACACAAGGAATTAGTATTTTTAAATGGTCATTCTTTAGGTATATCTCAGTTAATCTTAGACGTAACTTTCTGCCAGTTAGACTACGAAATGTTCCAATGGGACCTAAGAACTTTATTTCAAACTTGATTAAAGAGACTACTGAGGATTTTGGTGTTGTTTTATCAATCAAACCCATGGTATATGAGGGAACACCAGTATGCACAAACCAGTGGATTGTCACATTCGAAACAACAGAAGACCCGGACCTTGCTGAAAGGCTTCCCAGGTTTACATACATATGGGATCAGAAAGTTACACTAAAATGGAAAGAGAAACCCAAACTTTGTTTTTATTGTGACAAAGAAGGGCACATTAAGAGAAACTGTGAAGAACTCAAAAAATCAATTGAAACTTGACAATGGCAAAAGGAACGTAAGGCACAGGCAATAAATCAAATTAAAGTACATAATCAGAATAAAACAACAGAAAACATCACATATAGTGCAAATAATCTATATATATCAGATACAACACAGAGACCAACTATTGAATCTAATGTTAACAACTGAGAGTCAGCTAGAGAGGAATATGAAGAAAATTTTGAACAAATGACAAATGAGATGATATCAGACAATCAGCTTGATGGAAAAGAACAAGAAACTCATAACGTAATACATAACCTAGAAAGAGAAGAAGAGAAATTAACTGATGCTTCAACTACTGAATCAATAGAGAAAAGTGAGGCAGAAGAGGTAGAACAAGGGCCTAAGAAAGGTGATGAAATGGAAACAATGATGGAAATGAATGTAACATCAAATCAAGTAGCAGATGAAAATGGTTTTATACAGGTTACTGGTAAAAAAAACAGAAAGAAAACCAGTATTCCAATAATAAATAAAAGACCCTCACCATATAGAAAAGATAAGGAGGTTAAGAGAGACAAGGTTTCATTGAGCAAATGACAGTCACTTAACCCATAATTATCATAGATTGCATATGCAATTTTTCTTATATTCTTACAAATGCATAACACATTCAAAATAGCAACCCTAAATGTAAAGGATTTGAATAACAAACAAAAAGCTTAAAAGACTATAACATTATTAAAATCGTATAAGTTAGATTTAATTATAATTCAAGAAACCAACCTTCATGACTATTCTATTAGAAATTTTCTTGCACAGCAATGGATGTTTAACTCCTACTGGACATCGAAAACAGCAATCCTGGCAGGAAGAAAAGAAATTAAGTTTGAAGAGACAAACGAAGTATACAATAGACGAATTTTATCAGTGCGTTTTAATTTTATGCAATGATCATATTTGGTTACCAATGTGTATGCGCCACCAAATATTGAGGATTATATTACCTTTTTCAATAATTGGTTTCCACAAGTAGACGAAGAAGTAATTAATATTGTGGCAAGAGATTTTAATGTAAACTTGGATCTGTATGAAAATAGAATTAGTCAAGTTAACCCTTATAATGACCTCTCACGTAATATTTTAAAATTAAAAATACAGGAGTTTATAGATACAGCAGAGATAATAGGTCTTAAACCTTTTCTTACCTTTTATCAAAAAACACGTGAAGGTCAATTGATGGCTACTCGTTTGGACTATATATTTATTGATGCAAATCATATACAATGTTGCAATAGTGTTGCTACTCAGTATAGTAATTCTGACCATCTATTAGTAGAATGTGAATTGCACTTTACACAGAAATGCCTAAGAGCAGCATATTGGAAATTTGACAAGAGATGCTGGTCAAATATAAAAATTAGAAGTAAAGTTGAGAAGGAATTACATAACATTAAAGATCTAAATAAATGGGATTTTCATAAATGTATTATTCAATTGATCATTCGGGCTTATAAACCACAAATGGCTCAAGAAAATAAAATTCAAAAACTACATAAAAAGCTTACAGAAATAAACATAAAGATTATACAGTATGATGAATATGAAGACTTACAATTAGTACTAGGAGACATAAATCAACAATTGCAAAAGGAGCTGACATCTTTAGCAGAAAAGTGGCAAATTAGGTCTAAAGCTAAATGGGTAGAAAGTGAAGAAAAATCCACAAAATACTTTTTCATGCATTACAAAAATAGGCTCTCATCAATTCCTACTAATAAAATTAGAGATCCAAGCAATCCGATAGAGGAAGATCCAGCTACCATACTGCATTATATTCAGAATTATTTTGAACAATTATATAAAACAGAAGAAGTCAGTAGAGAAGCAGTAGAAGAATTAACTCAGAGTTTACCACAGGTATCTCTAAGTCAAAATTCACTGCTCAATAATACAATCTCAGAAAAGGAAGTTCTTGAGGTGATTGATACACTTGCCAATAACAAAACTCCTGGAATGGATGGCCTTAGTTACGAATTTTACAAGTTAGCAAAAAAAGAAGTTCTTCCAATACTACTAAAGCTGTTTAATAAAGTGCTAGAATCAGAGAAAATGCCACTTTCATGGAGTCAAAATATTATTACACTGATTCCCAAAAAAAAGGAGAATTTGGAAATAATAAGTAATTGGAAACCAATTTCACTTACTAATTGTGATGTAAAAATTTTTATGAAAATAATAGCAAATCAGTTAAATATAATATGTGCAGATATTATTAGCTTATATCAAAGAGGATTCGTAATGAGAAGATCAATTTTAGACACAGCTTTGGATGTAGTAACAGTTATGAGGAACCAAACAAATCAATCCAAACATCATTGGCTCCTCTTTATAGATCAACAAAAGGCCTTTGATAGGGTCAATCACAAGTATCTATGAATGGTTCTAACTAAAATGAAGTTTGATTCAAAATTCATTAATGTAGTTAATGCTTTATTTTCATCACAACAAGCCTATGTCACAGATGCTAGCTTGGTCTCAGAACCCTTCAGGATTGAAAGAGGTGTTCGACAAGGGGATTCACTGTTCCCACTTCTGTATACACTTGCAATTGAACCTCTGTTAAAGTTTATATATGAGAGAATCAATAGTATCGACATTATAAATTAGCGGTTTAGAATTTCTGCTTATGCAGATAATTTGACTATAGGTGTTGGCTCCCAAGATGATTGGCTTAAATTTATAGAGATAACTAAGACATATGAAGCTGCATCAAATGCTAAAATAAACAAATCTAAACTAGTTTTAATTCTGCTTACAACAGCGGCACAGGAACATATTTTATCCAATGAATATGAATTTAAGAAACTGACAGAAAACGAATCAGTTACAATACTTGGGTATAAAGTAAATAGTAGAGGCAACCCCATAACACATTTATAGGAGGATTTAGCTCACATAGTTCAAGACAAAATTAAGTCTATGGCAAATAGAAACCTTTCATTTAAAGGTAGAATACTAATATCAAAATCATTGTTTATTTCAAAGATGTGATACCTGGCATATCTTGTTTCTCCAAAGAGAAAACAGCTATATGTTTTTAACAACATGATTATGGAATGGGTTAAAAATAGGTCAAAAATGCTCCCACGTTACTCGACCTTCCAACAGGGTTATGATCAAGGAGGTCTGGAAGCTCCAATATTAAAAGATGCTTTGGATGCTAGACTAATTACAGTTTTTATAAAGCTGCTAACAAGCAATTGTCTATGGGCAAAAATAGAACGTACAATAATTACTGAAAACCTATGAAACAAAAGGAATATAACAATTAAGAAAGAACTAAACAGTAGTGCAACTACAACCAAAGGCTGGCCAGAGAGATGGAAGCCATATATATTGGCATGGTATCAGCTAGAAGGCAAGGTGATTAAAAAGAACAATGAAACATGGGACCCAGAGATTTTACTATAGGAAATCAGTGCAGTAGCTACTCAGTAAAAAAAGCTACAAAATTTCTATGATCTAAAGTTAAACTTTCTTTTAGGCAGTCAGAGCATGTCAACTGAATCAAGGAGAAATGGACTATTAATAAAAAAAAAGATGTTGCATGGAGATTAAACTTTCAGGCACTTTCTCTTGGATATCGCCTTTTACATACTAACCGGAAAGAAAATAGTGACTGTCCAGCATGTCCTGAAGAGACACAAACTTTGCTACACTTCACTCTAGAGTGCAAGGTTAATAGAATGATATGGACTGAAGCATATAAATGTCTGGCAACCTCGATTAATGATAGACTTCCTAATTTATAGGATGAAATTTTTTTTGCATCTAATATTGAAGAGAGCCTCAAACGTAAAGCAGCAATATGGTTGCACATCACCTGTATATATGAGATTTGGTGCTGGTACACCCAGGTTAAATAGAAACAGAAACAGATACCAGAGATGATCTTACCAGCTATAATTCAGATGAGATTAAGTAACGAATTAAAGGTTCTGAAAGCTATACAAAAGAGAGGACATAATGGTGTGAAGGAGGTAATGAAATACCTCATCCTGAATGCATTCAGATGAACGTCTAGATACTCTTCCCTTTAACATTATCTTATTGTTCACAAAACAAATTATGTAAATATTTGTAAATTATAAATAAAGTACACCTACATGACATCCTCTGTAAAAGGGGTTAAAAAAAAAAAAAAAAAAAATACACATATCTTATGATCTATTCAACTGATTTTAATGATTTTACTACCATTAAAATCACAAGATTTAACTTTACAACTTTCAATTAAGTAACAGGAAAGAATTATTTAATAAAAAAATACTTTTATATATAAGCAAGTCCCATTTCTGCACTATAGAAAAAACATATAAATTTTTAATTTTGTTTATTATAAGGATTATTATTTTTTGTTCTCTTTAAAAATGATTTACTAATTAATTATTTTATAATAAGATTAAATAACTTTGTTACTGCTTTTTATTAAAAACTATTCAGATTTGACATAATTCTTTTTTATACTATTACTTTGGTTATAGCAATACTTGTTATTTGACAATAAAATACAAGATCTTTTTTGTTAATTTATTTATATATTTTATAAATCTTAATAAAATTATGTTATTACAAAGTTTATTTAAATTCTAGTACATATCATTTTATAATATATTTCTAGTATTTTTGTATATTACTAATACAGTTTCTAAACTTCTAATCTAAATATCTTATATAAAACTATGATTAATTTATTGGTATATTAGATCAGTCTAATATTCTTTTCTTCTAATTCTTTTAGATAGAATTCTAATAACCTAATTAATGATATTCTTCATTTAGAAATTTTTGCTTATCTAAATAATATATATATTTATTTTTTAGATCTAAACTTTATAATAGTATTATCAAAGATCTATGTTATTTTTTTGCTTAGATTTTTCTAAATAAACTTCTTGTTTTACAATTTTAATAGGTTTATATAATTACAAAAACTTATCTTGAATTTGTATTACTTGATGTTAGTTTATATTCCTTTGTATAATTAGTTATACAGATGTCTTATAACTTGTCAATCATACTAATATATCTATTATTACAGATATTTAATTTAATTATTAAAAATAGTTGTTATAACACAAATAGAAATCTAAATTTTTATTATTAATAGATTTTGAACTTTTAACCTATTATTTAAAAAAATGACAACTTGTTTATTTTACTAAGCCATTACTAAAGGTTTGCAAATGCCTATGCTTAGCATATTGGCATCAGATCAGACATTAGTGCTTTATATCATATCTGTATCTATAAACACAAAAATATTAGATATTATTAAAAACATAGATACAAAATACTAAACACAAAGTACTAAACACAAGGGTCAAACAAAGTGTCAGATGTAATTAAATAATAAATATTCAATTTTTGTATTTGTGTTTATGCCTATGTCAAGTTTTTTGTATTTGTATTTATGTCTATATTTAAGTTTTTGTGCCTATAACTATGTCTAGATTTTTTGTTAGATATAGACATAAGTCTAAGTTGTAGATCTTTAGTCATCATACTTGTTTAGTTAATTTTTAAATTTTTTTTTT